CAACGCCTATGTTGCGTAACTTACGAATAGTTTTGAGATCGTAGTTAGTTCCTCTCTTTGCTTCTTGGTGTGTGTGCGTGTGTGTGCGCGCAGAATTATATATATATATATATATATATATATATATTCGTAAACACAACAGTATAAAGACGCTTCCTAGCAAGATGTGTTTCGCCGCGAGATGTATTTCTAATGCAGTTTATATAATTATTCAGTTCGAGCGTATATACATATTCGGTAGTTGTACGTTTAAGTTAAGATCCGTTTCAGCGCGAATTCTCCCATCGCAATATACGTTTCGCGCACGGTGCGCGCACAAAGTGTGTTCTCACGCGATCGCTAAATGTCGCAAAAAATGCACATCGAGAGAACGCCCGATGTGTATTTTAAAATCGCGCGATCGAGAGAACGAAGCGCTGTGAAAATAGATGCGACAGGAAATGCGGACTAAAATGAGTTAGATTATAGATATATTGTATATATATATATATATAATATTGTATACGTACGATAGAAAATGTTTGATGGTTTGAGACATGATCCAACATCATATTCGTCAACATAAATATCGAATCGCAAAATCACACATTTGACCCGATCGATGTTCATTATCGAACGCGCTGGTACGTTCCGAGCGCTCTTTGCTCCTATTGATTTGGAAATGGTTTTTTGTTTTACCATCTTAACACGGCGCGAGAAACGTTGAAAACGAATTCGAAGCGTGTTCGTGTCATAATTGATGCGAGACACGTTATTGATTTACAACGATGCTTTCATTCCATTCCAAATGAATTTATTAATAAGCGGAATAATTCTATTTCTGTACCGCGGTGATCCAATAAATTTTACGATAAACTTTTGTCCTACATCACGTCGCAAATATTGCGATAAGAAAAGCTCGTTTATATATTCGCCGATCCTCGTGAATTCGATCGAATTTTCACTCCGTGAGCGAAACGGTGTCACGGCGTTAATTCGTCACCTATTTTTCGGAACGAGGCTCTCTCTCTTTCTCTCTCTCCGGACAAACGTACAGGAGAGATAACGACGCGCGAAAACTATCGAACGAAATATCCCAAATGGGCGATATCATCATTTCTCCCGTTTCTTTCTTTATGTTACAGCGACTGCAACGAAATTGAGGCACTCGAGACACCTGGACGTGAGATCGCAGCAGTTCTCGGGCGAGGAGGAATTAGCGGTGAGTGCTTCTCGATTCGTTCTTGATTCGATTTCTCATCCCCGCTCTCTTCGCTTCCTTTTCTCCTCCCCTCTCCAAACTTCCTTCTGTCTCAGACAGAGAAGCCCAGTTGCTTTTACCACCCAGGATCTCGAGGATGATCCACCAAGATCCCCTCGTATAAACCACCTTTCCAGCATGCGGATAATGGATTTGTCCCTTCCTTCGTCGCCGATCTTGCCGAACAGTTAAATATTTACCGCGTTCGTCAGCGGCCGTCGTCTCTCTACGTGACGGCGACGAACGAGCGGCTGAAATTCTCTTTCGTTTGTTGGATATGTGTGTAGAGACCACGGAAATCCGCGATCGAATTTCAAGTATGTCTTCTTTCTTATCGCAACAACTTTTGATCGACTTGCTTCTATTCCTTGTAAAACTGAACCTGAAAGTTCGTTCCCGTAACTCGTAATTATTACATTAATTACATTCATTACGTTAATTATTAAATTAATGTTTTTTATTACAATCCAAATTTCTTTCATTAAACTTTTCTCTTAAAAAAATATTTACGATGTGAAATAAACCTTTTTTTTTTTTTCAAAATATCAGATCGAGCGAATAACAATTTGACGTATCGCATCTCGAAGTAAACGTTTTATTTTTGTTTCCTTTGCGGAAAGGAGTGAGTGATCGCGGGGAGCGATCTCCGAATAGATTTACGTCGCGGTTAAAAATGAATCGCGACAGCAAAATCGTCTTACGTTTCGACGACGATGGATAATGCGTCCGAGCACACGCGGATCGGATAAATAATTTGCCCGAAATCACTCCTGATCCGATGAATAGGTACACGCCACGACGATTCGCACTCCCATACGTTCACGATGAGACACTTTGGCGGGAAGTGCTTCGTCTGCGGTGCCGGAGACTTGCTTACGAATCGCTCGTAAATCGTTGACGTTACGCCGAAGTTCGGTGGTGACAGAGCGTGGGATATTTAGGAACGCGAATTGCGGGAACGTTGAGCTCTATGTATAGGACGATTCATGCGCGAGATTCGTTAGACGGGACAAACGGCAGTCGAATGGGAATCTGAATTGCCGCGTTTCGCCACTTCCACATAATATCAGAAACGGGAGTTGCTACGCTCGGTACTCTACGTTATCTTGTGATGAATACCGAGGTTTAATCAAGATGTGCAATTCTCCTAAAGAGGCTTTTCTCTTTATCGTTTTTTCGAATTTTTTTTTCACTTGTATTCTATGATAATCAAATTTTTATTCAATTCGTGAATTACTATATTTATCATTGATTTACCAAAATAGATATTTTTGTATTATTTTTATTTACCTATTTTTATATTACTGACAAACTGGCTGTGTGTACACCTGGTTACACGTATTTATTAGACATTTTGTATTACAAATATTTTCTATTATTGTTTTATATTTATTTATTTGTATTTATTTTTAAAATAAATATTTTTCTTTTATCTCCCGCACATGTAATGCTTGTAACATGATAAAGGAACGCAATATGTGATTGTATTGTTTTTTATTGTATTTGCGTTAATAATAAAATATCTCAAATATCATGTTTGCGCATGTATAAATATTAACTTTATATGTTGCAAGGTACTTTATTTATATTTATTTATATGTATTTATAAAATTTTAATTTTGTTACATACTCATTTTTATTGGGACGACTCGATTCGACGCGAGTTTTTAATTCCTAATGCATCTGTGCTACACACTTTGTTTCTAACAAAATGTTTTCTGCGGAAAAACGAAACGCGCCAAGTGTGAGCGCAGAATAACAAAATTCATCTATCAGTAGCGCGTCTCTTTTTCGATCGCGCGATAAAACAGTCTTTGCAGATACAATATTTTACATTAATATTTACAATAATGTTTTTAATGTTCTCAAGCGCGTCTTTGAAGAATCAAATTTTCATCTTTTCCTCTTTCTCAAATCTGTATCTCGAAAGTGATAGCGGAGCAGCTCGTTAGTCTTTTATGTCGTGCAAAGACGTGAGCGAGCAATTTGCAAATTATGACAGCTGTAGTTTCGCTTTTAATTAATTAACAGTCAAGTATATCTTCGCGACCGTGTCTGTGCGCACAGCATCGCTGTTCTAAAATTTCGACACGGAATATCTCAAGATGAAAGAGAGAGGTTGGGAAAGGCGTGGGTTCGAACGTACGAATATCTTCTCGCTCGAATTTTTTTTCTCGACGATCATTGCGAATTCATCGAACATCGTTTAAAGCGAGCATTAAAAATGGAACGTCAATAATTGTCGTTTTAACAGTTCTCTCGCTATTTTTCTTCCTCGAAATAGCAATTTTCGCGACTGAACGCGTATAATCTCGGTTCTTCATTTTTTTGTTCTTCTTGAACTCAAAAATGTCTTTCTTCACTATCGCGCGATAAGATCGTTTTCTGATTTTCCAATCGACGGAGTCTTCTTTTTTCGGCGCGAAATCAACCGCGAATAGCATCAACGGAATTAATTCGCTGAAATGTGACTAACTCGCTTATCGCTAATGAGGCTGCAAAGTACGAGAGAGGAAGAGAGAGAGAGAGAGAGAGAGAGAACGGGCGCGCAACGTCGCGTTGTGTTATATACTGCGTTGTAAAACAAAGTGCTGCGCCAAATTCTGTGGTGCAGAAGGGTTGAAAAAGGGGAGGTAGTTCGCGCCAAACAGCCGAGGCGTGTGTCTCAGCAAACCCAGTTCGAGCACACGCGGATTGTATTTCTTACCAAATATTGTTTACCCGGGAATATCATTATCCCGCGGGACAGAAAATAGTAATGAATATTAATGCCGCGACCATTTAATTACATCGTAGATAACGTCTAACCACGTGCACGCCTAGGGAGAGCCGAGAGACTTGGCGTTGTTAGGAGCTTCGCCCATATTTTAGCGCGTGTAATCAGCTCTCTCTCTCTCTCTCTCTCTCTTTCTCTTTCGCTCTTTCTCTCTCGTTTTCAAAGTCTGCAAATAAAATGATACGATGCTTCAAAAGCTCCCTCACAATGTGTCTGATGTGTATAGACGCGCCGCTATTTTCAAACTTGACGCGCCCGACTGTGAATTTCACATGTCCAATTACGCGGTCGTTATTCAATACGCATTACTTATTTCTCTTCTGCGCGGTTCGCAGAAGTTAAAACGCCGCACGTCGCGATCGATCATACGTCGCAACACGTTAAACGCCAGCGGGTCGATTCTAATCGCGATGAAATGGTAACACTCGGGGGCAGTACAGCGAGGCATAATTTATGAGAGGGTACGGGGTCTCCTACTCCGAGACGCGCAACAGAGCGCGTAACGTTGTGCAGAGTTCGCGCACAACTTCGCCAACCTTTTGCCGCACATGCTCTAGATCGCGCCAACGTGTATGATTATTACGAAGTGTACTCGGATACGGCGGCCCCTTTTTTTCTCCCCTCTTCTCTCTCTCTTCCTTTCTTTTTCTCTGTTTCTTTTGTATTTCTGTCCCACGAGCTGTGTTGGATCTTTTATGAAGAAAGGCGACATAATAGACCGTTGGAGTCCGCGGCGGTGATTAATGGCGCTTGGTTTATGAGAAGCGCTTTGATTTATCGAGCGCCTTGTTCTCTCCAAAGTCTCTACCTCAGCCGCGCGTTCCAAGTTTACCGATTAATCCCCTGGACAATCTGAGCGCACGCGCTAGCAAAACGTCAACGAGCTAATAGACACCCCCGTGTGGTTCTCTCTCGTCTGTTTTCAGATAAATGCGCATTACAACCACAAGCCCTTCTTCACCAATTGCTCGAATTACGCACCGGTGGTGCTGGAGGAGGAGCCACGCTTCACGAGAGTGTTCCAGGTGCGCGCCGAGGACGGGGATCCGCCGGAGGACGGAGGTAAGTACGCCGCGTACCATCATCAAACATTGCACGGCGGATAAAACGTCGCGTCATGTAATAATTATTCGCGCGCAACGAGAAGAAGTGCGTCATTTGCAATCTTCAAAGCGTGTTCTCTTTCGCGTTTACAATTTTTTTGTGTCCACGATGGTATGCGTTTTCAACGACTTGGAGAGTAGTGTGAAAAAATCGCGTTCGCAAAAAGATCAAGAAAGAAATGATCAAGAATGGATTACCGTGTGGTATAAATCTGTGGAATATCTCGCGCTTGCATTATTTGTTGATCGCGGGGCAAAGATACTATTTTCACAGTCCAGACCGACATAAAGTGACCGCGCAAGAACGTGTTGTGCAGGGTCATTAATCCGATTACCCGGCGATTATCTGGTCATGAATTTTCAGGTACCATTACGTACAGCTTCGTGACCACTCCGCACGAGAGGATGAAGTTTGAAATTGACAATGTGACCGGCGTCATCACCACGCTTCATATACTCGACAGAGACGAACCCGATCGAGAAAAGGAAGCTTATCTCACAGTTATGGCAAGCGACAATGGCAGGCCGCAGCTTGATGACGTGTGCACATTTAAGATCACCATCGAGGACATCAACGACAACACGCCGTTCTTCGACAAAGTGGTACGTCGCCTAACCAGCCGAGTTACCGACTCGTTGATATATAGTTTGATCGATTCCTCTTTTTCTCGTCTCCCCACCGACGACGATTCCGTCGTTTGTGCAAAGAAAATATCGGATGCATGCGGTACGAATACGCGTCTCTGCATTATGCATACGCAATTAAGCGGGTGTAATAGCTATGTAACCAGTTTGTACTCGGTAAAAGATATATATCGCAGTCTATAGCAAAACCAACATTGTTTCTTTTTCTTTTTTTTTCTTTTTTTTTTTTATTAACGGAACAAAAACTTTTTTTTATAGAATGTTGTTCCTCTCATCACATACGAGCAAGAATAGTTCTCAAAAACAAAGTAAACATCATGAATTTTTTGCCACATAGATCTTCGTGCATTTATACCGCTTAACTTCCCTTTCTTTTTTCATAGACTAACATAACGCAACTGTATCACTACTAACAAGATCTGCTTGAATTTTTTTGTTTTATTCCAATCTCAGGTCTTCCGTGGACATGTATGGAAGGTTGGTTTTGAATTTGCAGTGTGTGCGTGCGTGCGTGTGTGTGAATTTTGCACGTCGCAAATGAGAAAAATGTCTCTCTTCTTTGTTTTTTTTTGTTTTTTTTTTTCAAGCGATTTTGCAAAACTAAAGTATTTCATAATTTTTTGCGTATCGAACGAGAGATATCTGCGTTGAAAACATGTAGTTTTTAAAATTCAACGGAGATAAAAAAACCGCTGCATTGACGTGAAAAACAGAGATTTTTACGCCAGCTTGTACGACAGCTTGTTACGTTGATCAGCACATTTAATGCGACTAATTGCATTCGCCATTTTTGTTCCCTCCACGTTTTTCAAAGAAAAATAAGTTGTGCATGCACGTGATGATGTTTTGGATACATGATATAATGACGCATTTTAGTGACGCACGATTTGTGTGAAAATTGCATGAAACGCATCACGCTAACATAAAATGCATTTTGGGAGTCGTGTATACGTATTGCTACGTAGTCGGTCCTAGCATCGTTTAAATGCGTTTTGGGCCTTTTGTTCCTCGCAGCATTATCGGGAATCTGTGCCGCAAGATTTACCGGTCGGGCGCGAGGTCATGAGAGTTTCCGCCACCGATATCGACGACGGAGAAAATTCCATCGTGCGATATAGTTTATCATCCAAGAGGACGGATGACTCCGACTACTTTCGGATCGACGAAGCTACCGGTGTCATATTTCTCATGAAACCTATAGACGTAAGTAAAATGAAGAAGAACGACGTTTAAAAGAGAGTGGTGCGTTAATGGCACTTTTTTTCGCAATTCGAACGACATGTATAACGGATATTTTTTCTCTCTTTCGTAATAAACTTGATTATTTAAATGTATTTTCAGTGACACTATTTTACTATGAATATTTTTTTGTACACGAAAAACGTCGGAAATAATGTTGAATTACTGCGGGGCATGATGTGTTTTTGCTTATTTTTCATATTTTTACAAATACAAACGTTTCCACTAGAGAGAGAGAGAGAGAGAGAGAGAGAGAGTGTGCGCGCTGACAAATAATGCGCAACATGTCAAAAATCGTTCTTTTTTTTTGTTTCTCGAAGTTTTAGTTTGTTTATATAAAGTTTATGTACACAAGTTTTTCGAATATTACAATTATTACGTGTGTGTATTACTCGCGCAGCGGAATCCAGGTTACAAATTCGACTTGACTGCCACGGCCACGGATTCTGGCGAGGATCCAAAGAGCGATTTCATTGATCTTGACATAAAGGTTGTGGAGTCGCATAAGAAGGCGCCGGCGTTTATACCTCCCCAAATAGAACCAATTAAACTTAAGGAGAATTTCAACGATTTCGACGCCAGTATTGTCCGTTTAAAGGCAATTTCCAATGTCAACTCCACTAAGGATGAAGACTCGTACTTGCAGTTTAACATCGTCACTGGCAGAACGGAACTGACCAACAAGGGAAACATCTTTAGGTAACTGCGAATCGCGCGTTTGTCAAGTTTTTGTTTGTCGTTTTTCATAATTGCGCGCTTTTTCTTGCGCATTTCGCGTAATTAAATATTTCGTTTAACGCTCATTAGACTGGAATCGAATAAGGACGTCGCGGATATCAAGCTTTCCCAACAGTTAGATTACGAAAGCAACACGCAGTATAAGTTGATAATACAAGTAACAAATAAGTATCAATTGGCCGCCGAAATGAATGTCGTTATCGACATTCTCGACGTGAATGACAATATTCCGGTCTTTCGTGATATCAAGAAAGGGAGCGTGTTAGAGAACGAACCTCCAGGAACTCCCGTGATGCAGGTGCGAGCGATCGACGCCGATGGAACTTCTGCCAATAATCAGGTAATTTAATAATATATTATATTTTAAATAACAACTCTTTTCAGAGAAGAAATATTTTCTGCATTTGTGTGTCCGAGTTTCGTTACTTGTGTTATAATTTGTTAGCACATATCTCGACTTGCCTTTTCAGGTCACTTATCATTTAGACAGTTTTGATACTTACTTCAAAATTGACCCTCACACTGGCAATATTACGACGTTAACGACATTCGATCGAGAAGTCGAGGACACGTACAACGTCAAAGTAATAGCAACAGACAATGCTCCGAGCGCTTTGTTCAAATCGAAAGAACACAATAAAGGAGAACAAGTATTTCGAATTGAAATCGCCGATAAGAACGACAATCCGCCTCGATTCACTCAAAGAGTTTACACTCATAATTCGGTTCTCGAGAACGCAAACGTCAACACGTACGTAGCCGAGGTCGAAGCGATTGATTCCGACACGGCGAGTCCCGTCACATATAGCATCATAGCCGGAAACACCAACCAAAGTTTCAACATTGAAGGTACAACGGGAAAGATTCGTGTTAACGCATCGCTCGATTATGAAAAAATCACCAAATACAACTTGACCGTGAAAGCGTACGATGGTGTGTTCTATGACACGGCGCAAGTTGAGATTTTTATTGAAAATGTCAATGACAATCCACCGGTGTTCGAAGAGTTTGATCAGAATCCGACGATACGCGAAGAAACACTGGTAGAAGGTAAGACGTTGATAAACAATCTGATCACAATCTTTGGTTTTCCTGAAAAATTGTATTTCCAATAAATAAACTTTCACAATTGTTCGTTTTCTCTTAGGATGTATTACCACCGTGACGGCTTACGATCCTGACATCGAAGATAGAAATGCCGATCAGCGTATCGCCTATTTCATCGTTAAGGAAGATCAACAACCCCTAATAGGAATTGACAAGAATGGTTGTATGAAACTGAAGAAACCATTAGATCGTGATCCACCGAAAGGTTACGCAACATGGACCGTAAGTTATTATTAACTACATATAAATAAATTTAATTAAATAACATTATTTACATTTACAAATAAATTTATTTGATATAAAAATATAAAAACCAATCAAAAGAATTTTTATCAAATTTGTTTTTTTTTTTTTTTTTTTTGTTGAACTTCTCTTGTTTTATAAAATTTATTTACATTTTTTATAAAATTCAATTTCCTTGGTTTTTTTTTGTTTACAGGTTATTATAATGGCAAGAGACGATGACGGTTCGCCTACAGCTCTACGTAAAACCGTGGAGGTCAACATCACTCTCTTGGACATAAATGACAACGCGCCGTTCCTCGATATGCCGTATCCGGTTATTTGGACCGAAAACAAACCACCGGGAAAGATAACCGAGCTGAAAGCACGGGACTACGACTCTGATATTAATGGTCCGCCGTTCAAATTCCGAATCGACGGTTCCGCGGATAGTGAAATCATGCACAATTTCGAGATTCACGAATCGAGTCTGTACGCGCGAGTGATGTTCGATCGAGAAAGACGAAAAAGTTATGACATACCAATCGCGATAACAGACAGTGGTAGACCACCTCTGACGGGTACTTCTACGCTTACCGTGATTATAGGTGACGAAAATGACAATCCTATGCAAGAAGGCACGAGTTCTATATTTGTTTATAACTACAAAGGAGAAGCTCCTGATACAGAGATCGGGCGCGTTTACGTCAACGATCCGGACGATTGGGATTTGCCAGACAAATCCTTCGATTGGGCTTCTCCTCATGAAGGATTTCTTCTGAACAGCAGTACCGGCATGATTACCTTACTGTCGGGAACTACGAACGACACCTTTGTATTGAAGTTTGTCGTTACCGAGAAAGGCCATTCCATTCCAGCTCATCAAGTAAACGCGTACGTGAACATCACCGTTAAAGAACTTCCGAAGGAGGCTGTGGACAGATCCGGTTCCGTGCGATTTTACGGAATAACTGCTGAGCAATTTGTGGAGCCTGACGAGTCTGGCGTTAGCAGAAAGGAATTATTTCAAGAAAAATTGGCTTCTATGCTGAACACATCGATTGAAAATGTCGACGTGTTCACCGTGCTTCACTCACCCCATTACAACAACAGAAGTCTGCTCGACATCCGATTCTCGGCACACGGCAGCCCGTATTACGCTCCCGAGAAGCTGAATACGATTATAGCGCAGCATTCTAAGGAAATCGAGCGGGACATAAAGGCGGCTATTTTGTTGATAAACATCGACGAATGCCTGTTCGAGAAGCTTCATTGCAATTATACGTGCCGCAACTCCTTGAACGCCAGTACTGTTCCTTATTCCGTTTATACCAACACCAGTTCGTTCGTCGGAGTACGAGCGGTCGTGGATCCTCTTTGCACTTGCCATGTAGCGGAACCTATCGTCTGTTTGAACGGCGGCACTCCTATGGCGAAACGATGCGAGTGCCCACCTGGTCTGGAAGGACCGAGATGCGAATTACTGAGTATCGGGTTTCAGGGAGACGGCTGGGCTATCATGCCGTCGCTCGGTCAAGCTTGTGAGGAGTCACATTTACGTAAGTGCTCGGAATATAATACTCCCGCGCTTTTTGCTTCTGTTTTCCACATTTATGTTTTTTTTTTTTCTGTTTTTTTATACGTATATATATACGATTTGTTTGCAGAATTGGAAGTAACACCGCACGTCGACAACGGCCTCGTGTTTTACTTCGGTCCCATGACGTACAGTCCTAAGCTCGGAATACAAGATTTCATGTCTTTAGAAATTCAACAAGGCTATGCAATGTTGTACATGGATTACGGAACCGGAACTGTGAAACTGGAGCACAAACAAATCAAACTAACGGACGGCAAGAGTCACAAGATAGAGATTCTCTGGTCTAAATCTGTACGTATTTGTGTGTTATACATATTTTCTTCGACTCACAGAAGCGGAATATATGCAATACCGCCTTACATTGCGCGTTTGTTTTTCCAGTCAATAGAGATGAAAGTCGATAATTGCGTTATATCCGCTTGCCTGAGTCTCACCGCACCGCAAGGACCCAATGAAATTTTAAACGTAAACAGCCCGCTGCAAGTCGGCGGTACAATGACCAACTTGGCGCAAATGGCAGCAAATTTCGGATGGGATTATAAACCAACTGACAAAGGACTTGTTGGCTGTATACGCAACATGACGTTCAATGGAAATGTTAGTAACGATAAAAAAAAAAAGAATAAATGTAACAAACAGAAGAACGAATTAACAAGTTAAAATTACAAAAGAACATTGAGTTACTTTGTTTCATTACAGACGTACAACCTGGGAATGCCATCGCTGTCTAGAAACGCAAATCCTGGTTGCGATCATGGCATGGCAAAAGCCATTTCATTCGGCATCGATACGAACTTTATAGTAGCTATATTGGTGTGTGTATTAATATTGCTGGTACTGCTGGTAGCGGTAGTCGTGCACAGGAGGAAAACAGACGATTTGTATAAAGATATGGACGATATCAGAGAGAACATTATTAATTACGAGGACGAAGGAGGCGGCGAAGTAGACACGGGATATGATTTAAATGTATTGAGAGCTATTTACGATGCGCCTATCGATTCCAAGATAACTTCCGTCGGCCTGCAGGAAAGCGGTAAAGATATAACGATCAATATATAATTATGCAAAAAGCGTTATTAAAATACAAAAATCTATTGTTGTACAAAAACTAAACAGAGATTTTGTTTCAAGGACACGACGAAGTTCCCGACATTTGCGGTTTTCTAGATGGCAAGAAAGAGAGTTGCGATAAAGATCCTGATACAAATCCATTCGATGACGTAAGGCATTACGCTTACGAAGGAGAGGGTAATTCAGAAGGCGACTTATCATCGTTAGCATCTTGTAAGCTTTTTCTTTCACAAATATCAAGATGTACACGATATGTAATCATGTTTCGACTTCTCGATCAATCTCACTCGCGCTCTCCTCTTTACTAGGTACCGATGATGGTGATCTCAAGTTTAACTATCTATCCAATTTCGGACCAAGATTCAGAAAGTTGGCGGACATGTACGGAGAAGAGAGTGACGAGGACAGCGACGGAGTCGGTGAACGAGAGAGCGAGAGTTGGTGTTGAGTTGTCTTAACAAAACACTTCGTAGATACAAAATTTTAATTCAGGTAAGGCATCTGTTTACACAAGTTACACAAGGTGCTATGTAAATAACAAATGGTGATGTAAATAGAGTCGTCCTGTTGTTTTCTTTTCTTTCACAGCGTACGTGACTTGCAGACTCGTTCGAGCTTTGTGGTCATAACCGCAAGGTTTGCATCTGTGCAAGATTCGTGCGTATCCTGTAGACTCGGGTTCCAGCAACGAGGCAGAACACAAAACAGGGGGCTTTATTGTACTTAAACGACATAAGCGGTCTTCACTTACTGACCGCTCGCGAGTTTTTTTGATGTGAGAAAAAGAAGAACTCCAACACGCAATCCTATCGATACAATAATTATAAGCGTGAATTATTAATAGACGAAATGAACTTTACAATTATCATAAGTGATTATTATGAACGTTATCAAAACTTCATTTATTTCGCGGAAAAGTGACGTACACAAACAAGGAATTTTTATATTGTGTCGTTAAAAGAATCTAGCCCGTTTACGCTGTAACTTTTACACTAAGAGTGATGAATGTGTATATGTGAAACAAGAGAGAGATACATAGTGCGTTCACTACGTTGCGCGAATTTAAACATTAAAAACACATTCGAATCATCGTGTCCTCGTTGTATGTACTTTAACGAGTTGTTGGACAATCGACAATTTTCATCGCGATCTCTGTTTTTTTGTATGTAATTATTTGTGAACATAGTTATATATATATATACATATATATACATTAAGATAAACTTGCAACTTGATTACTGATAAGAAACAATGTTCCATGGATCAAAAGTAGAACAAATATTGCGGCATAACAGTTCATGTAACGAGCTTAACACTTCGTCGACTATTTTGTTTGATAATATAAAGTTAGCGTAAGTAGTAAAAAGCGAGTTTTACATCTTTATTTACGAAAGAAGTATACAAAAGTTAAAGTTTCTGAAGTAAAAAGCTCCCAAAAAGAGTTACTACTGATGAATGTTCTCATAAATCAGTTGTGAAGTTACTTGAGAGACTTTTCCAACGTCGTGTATTAAACACAATTGATTTTTTAATCGGCCTTAGCGTAAATGTTTTTTGCGAGGTAAAAAGATTATAAACACATACGTGTTGCTGCACGTCGATAAAGTCGGCGAAGTATTGAGCATAAGTTTTACTTGTTTATTAAGAAAGCCAGAACGAGAGAAAAAAGGCTATTGTCTATTTTGTTAATGTCGTCTTTTTTTTTTTTTTAACATTGTGTAACGATGACAAAATGCTATGTGACTGACTTTAGAACCCGTCTAAGGAAACCTCAGTAATTTCGTAAAGTCGCGCGTATGACTGCCAAGATTCAAGAGACGGTCGCTCTTGGTCTGCGTATCATCTTTAAATATTTTGACAGCAAAGAGAAAAAAGATCGCACAGTCTAGTAACACCGGTTTGCAAAACGTTAAAAAAAAAAAAAAAAACATTGCAATTTTGTGATCGACTGTTTGTAATGAAAGACTATACTTTCCGTCGATTGCGGATCTGTCGTTTTGAGCTTGGCAATCATCAAGTTACGAGGTCTCCGGACTATTTTTTATACATATACATTATATAAATAAATAAATATATAGAGAGAGAGAAAGAGAAAGATTATATGTGAAAGAGAAAATGATACCTAATAACACACACAAATGAGTAATAAAATAAAAAACAGATGCCCATATAACTCTTCTTACTGATGATGAGAAAAGTCATCTTTTAAGAGTGTGAATAAGATGAAACGAAGATGAAATATAGGATACTCTGTCGCTCTTCTATTTATAATTTATATAGTATTTTAATAATTATACATACATATAGATATGAATGAGGAAGAAAGTGTATATGGATGTATGTGGTCATATCGCCAATGTATGCGTTATAACAATGTCATGTGTATCACCAGATGAACGCGTATGTACAAAAACAATATTGCATACGTATATTGTTATATATTCGATATATGTTCGAAAACCTACGTATATATGTACAACTACATACATATGGATTCCCTTTGTACGTGTATATTAACTCGCGCGAGAATCGAAAAGATAATTGTTCTCACATCGATCAAGTTTATCCGTAATATTGTTCTGCTAGTAGAAATTATGTCGTTGATAAGAAGAAAAAGAAGAAGAAGAGAAGACTCGACAATTCCAGACATTTGCAACCCGATAACAGATAGAAGTCAAGAAAAAAACAACACATGGAGATCGAGTGCCATAGCGCGCTTCGGAAGACGTTAATCTTGTTCCGTGAATATATAAACTGCCGGTAAGATCGTTATATAAATATATATTATATCGCGAACTTCTCAAATACTTTCGAAATGATAAAATTTATGAAGTTTTGTCATTCGAAAAGTATTTGTTCGCGCTTCTCATTTTGACCAGCCACTTTGATAAATATAATTATTATTTCCTATGTGTCTTTGTGCGTTTGATAAGTACACGAGGAATCGCTGTTATTTTTAAGCTTTTTGTACGCAAAATAATAAAACACTCGACGATATGTATATCGCTGTGGTTACACGATTAAAATACCGAATAAAAACCACAGTCGTGATATCATATCACGAGATTTCCACGCATATATAAAATATATGTTTACGATAAGAAAAGCGCAACTCGAGCGGACGCGTGTGATCTCAATAATAAGTGGGGAACGAATTTTTTTTTTGGGGACATTCCTCCGTAAATGTCTGTACGAGCTACTTAGGCGCTTGCCATTGAACAACGATTAGAGCAAAAGATGAATAAAATATATAAATCTAAATAACATAGTCGCGTTTTTAGAAAACGAATTTATATTCAAATTTGTACTCGTTGCGTGTTTCCGCGTTAAATTCTTTTCCTTTTATTTTTTTTTTTTCTCAAAGCAATTATATTTGCGGCAAGCGGTGTGAGAGAAGATGTTACTACAATATAAAGATTTATGTAACATAAAGTTGGCAAAGATCGATATGTATAAACTAATCAACGTGTAATAGGTTTTTTCAATAACAGAGTGTACAGACACTGATAATATTTTTTTCTTTAGATAATTTTTTTTATTACCTTTATTAGTCAGATTAGCTCTCATTTATACACAATATTTTATAAGTTTTTGTAAAGAGGAAGATTTATATTTTTTCTTTATTTATTCGACTATTATCCCTCTATAACCCGAAGTTTTGTCATGGGCACAAGAGAATTTGTGCAACGTAAACCCATAAAAAAACAATAATCCTTATATATAAATTTTAACAATAAATTTTCAGAGATTTTTATTTTTGACAATCGCGATAAACAATTTTTGATGATTACAAAGAAGAGGTGATGAAACAAAATAATGCGTACACATAACACGCCACATTAGCCACACGTTTTGTGGCTAAAACTGAAATTAGACTAAAAAAATATCGATATATCGTGACTTCAAAGTTGGACGCGGCGTTATAGAGGGTTAACGATATTCGAAAACTTGCCTACATCAATTAAAACTTTTCTAATTATCATCTTTATATACAAAAAAAAGTTTAATGATTGTTCAGTCTTCTTCCATTTTATCGATCCGTAATTCTCATTTCTGTTATCATTACGTTGGAGGTAAGAAGGTCTTTTTCGTATTTTTATATCAAAATTCGTATTAAAATACAAAAGGACTTTTTGACCAACCTGATATTACTCATGGAGACGAGCAATCATTACTTATATTTCATTTCCGTCGTGATAAATCGTATAAAATAACATAAGAGAGGTTTGTAAATGCTGTTGATAAATGTTTACTCTCAACACTGCCTTTAAGTGATAGGGAAAGATTCATGGATTCCTTGCGAATGCGATTTTAATAACTTCTAAAAATCTTAATCCTGATGCGCATACGTACTACACCCTACGCACTTTGAGAATTGTAAAAAAAAGAAAAAGAAAAAAAAACCACAAGAGCTAGATATAAATATACACCTGGAACACGTAACATGCGCGCGCGTATACACACACACAAGGCTTGTACATTATTTAGAAAACTAAGAAATCTATTGTGAACCATTTAAATATGTGATATAATCGACGGCAACGCATATGAGCGCACCATTATCCTTTTAATCTTCGATTCACCCTTAGCTCGATAAAAGTTGTGTAATTTCCTTTTTGTAGCAATAAAGTAAAAGTTCGACTATACACGTGTCACTTTGTTCTTTTTTCTATACCGTCACAAAAATTTTAAATATATTGTATTGGAGAGATAAATATATCACTGATTAGGACGATGTGATCTTGTGAGACTTCATGTCCTACTACGTTTCTTTGTTGGCAAATTAGTCGGAAGCCTTTAAGCGTCACGGTCATGCGTCAATTTCGTTTGACAATACGTCACAAAATGACGCAATTAATACAAAAGTTTACTTCCCCAGACGAAATTGTCCGAATGACATATGTAATTTCGTATACAAATGATAATTTTGAAAAATAAAAATTAAATGATAAAAATGATAATTATTAACGTTTTATTAATATAATAATTTATGCAACTATCATTGTACAAATTGCAATGATAATTTTTCTTCTATAAAAATTGCAATGCGATATCAGCAAACCGTTTTATTTTTTACTAATAATGTATATTTTCTCTCTTGGTCTTCTTTTTTCCACTTCCTGTAAAGTTATCGCAAAGTTGTTTACGTAAAAATGTTACATAATGACGATTTGAACATTTGTTTTTTCGTTTACACAAGTGCAATGAACTTTATCTCCAGTTGACAGAATGAATTTGTGTCACATGAGCAATTAAGAAATGTAGAAAATAAAATGTAGAAAGTAATCGGTTGGATAGAGTAATTATATATTTATTATTATATATTTTTGCAGGAGAGCAAATATTAGCACCTGACTGACAGGATAACAAACAAACCGTGAATCTAAATTTGATCTGATGTTAAGACTGTAATATTCCACGTGTTGACATCACTCGCGCAGCAGGTGCAAGTACAACCTTCATTTCCAATTACCTGTAATCATTGGCGCAGTTTGCTAAATATAGAACTAATTAAATAAAAAACAACTGGACCTTATTGAGATAAGAAGACCGATATTTATTCAATAGTAGTGTCAAAGAACATGTTGATGTAAATATATAATTGTAACTATATATAAAGTAAATATATCTCGAAGCGCCACACACACCCACACGCATACACACACACACACACACAAAATGCGTCACTTGTGGATTCGCAATCAACTTTCGTACTGAAATCAGAAGCGGAAGATGACTTGCGAGGCGTAAGATTCAACGCCGGCGCAGAGCTTTTATTATCCTTCTTTACGATAGTGATTGGAATCTATGTTGTAGGGCTGTCGGGATGTTGTAATGTGCGCGCGTTGAAATGTGGGATCCGTATTGTATAAAACAGCCAACCGCTTCTTAGATCATTCACAGACGAAGTCTTCAGCAACATCGCCAATATTGTGTTGTTTCGCGGAAATATAAACTTTATACATTTGTATACACGAAAGTGTTATCATGTGAGTTTTGGTTTTTGGATTTTCGTAAAAATCTAGTGTAACTATTTCTTTTGCTCTGTCAAACATAAACAGTTAAATAGCTTAAACACATAATAGTGCGATGAACAGACAGTTTGCGTCTCATAGAATTAAATTACATTATTTTTTCTTTCAAGGTTTTGTAAGATGTCAATAAGGTTCCTCGCTGTAGCATTTCTTTTCTTCCTTCTTCTTACGGATGGTAAATCTCAAGTAACTTTTTCCAACGGTTGGAATCAGGGAAAAAGAAGTCCAAATATGCGGATTAGATCAAGTAACATGGATTGTTCGCGAAGCTCGGCAGAACAATTGTTAAATTTATACTCATTCGTTCAGGTATTAAATTGTCAAGATGCGAAATAAATTTTAATACGTAATCGCTTGCACATACATAGACTATAACATCTCGGTACTAAAAAAAAAAAAAACAATTGATCTGATACTATCTACGATTTCTACTATTTACAGATCGAAGCGCAAAGGATTTTGAATTGTCAAAATTTAAACGAATGAAGCGAGGAAGCTACGTTGTTCTAATGAAACGGACTCATACACGCCACTACTAAGCTGAAGTAAACAAAAACTATAATATTTTAAATATGTACTGTAATTACAGCACCATATCTCTTTTCTTTTTAATAATATAATAAATATGTGACAATAGTAAATATTTTTGTTTAGTCTCACTTAATAAAAGTTTTATGTTAATAAAAGGCACATATATGTATCTCTGAAGTTGTTTTCCTTGCCTGTTGCATGCTTTGTACATATTATTTGTTGTAACGTAAATAATTAACAATAATAATAAAACAAGCGATTAACAGCATTGAAGATACAAAAAAAAATCTTTACAGCAAAATGTTTCCTGAAGATCACACATACATACAACTATTACAGTCTTGCAAATAACCATGGTTTAACCATATAAATATCGTTACTTGTAATTTGAATAAAAAAATATATTAATATTAAGAAAAAGTGTATATTATAAAAAATCCTTTTTCTCTTTGTCTATTAAATATGAATGAAAATAGACATCAATATGCACACACACAAAACAAAAAAACTGTCTCACTAAATTGCAAATATTCTCAAAACATTTTTTTCTCTCTATAATTATGTTTTTCTAAAATATTGTTTTTTTGTTCAAATGTATCTGTTAAGAGAGAAATTTTCAGTTACATTTATACAATTGCAAATATCATTTGCAACGTGGTAATTAAGTACATACAGATTTTGCTTTCGGATGTATTCACATGGAAATAAATCGAGAAAGTGTTATTGGTTTATCGATATCTCATGCACATGTTTAGTTCATTAACAATCGCATATATATATATACATATATATATATGCATACATATATATTAAATCCATTATATGCGCACCGTTATTTAAGCGACAAAGCTGTTTGGAATATCAAAGGATTCCGGTCTGAATCGTTATTTCGCTGTTATGCGAATAATCAAAAGATTGACAGTGAGGTAAGAATACATTTTGTGTATTCTTTGAAAATTCACGTGCATATGCACGTAAACAGAATATCATCAATGAAAGCATACACTAATTTTACTAATAAGGCAACAAATATTTTCATTTACAGAAAGATGAACTAAAATTCGATAAAATGAAGCAAAGTATCTACCTTCTGCTTGCATTCTTAGCTTTTTCCAGTGGTGAATTTAGCTCGGAAACTTATCACAATCAACGAGAACCCAAAAATGGTAAGACCTTCAAAACGTTCTCGTGTAAAAAAATTATCTTTCTAAAGTAACAAAACGGAAGAAAGATATGTGTATGTGTGCATGTTCTATTTTTTTCTCTACCTAAATGACTCTAACAGACTTGTCAAATTACACACATTAGCTTACGCGACAATAATAAAAAAAAAATATCTTTATTTTATTGCGGATTTTATTTTTCGCTTTACAGAGATAAATCGCAAGGATGATAACGAATCAAGAAACCGTACAACTCAAGACAATTCTCCTTCTTGGTTCGAATGTGAGAAACCAGGTTTTTACGCCGATGAACACGATTGTAGAAAATATTACATATGCGTGAGAGTTGAAAACAAACATTCTAAATTTCGTCGATCTATTTATCAATGTGACGCCAACAAAGTTTTCTCGGATGTACATATGAATTGTACGCTACCTCAAGAAAGCGGGAGAGCGGAATGCGGTGGTTCTGTCTCTTCGGAGCAAGAAGATATTTCAGGTACGACAAATTTGTCACACACATATACGCAATACACAAATTTACAAGCGTGCCAATCATAGAACACTTGAAAACATTTAAAGAACACCAGCATCACAACGAAACAAATCTCTACACAGAAGAATCACACATGTAACAGATACTCATTTGAATCCAAAAGACACAACTCAGGAATACAAAGCTCGATACTTATATACAGCCAAATGTTTCGGAAAGTGGTGAGATCAAATGAACTATGTCAACAAGAAGAATTTATACTGTATCTTAAGAATAAAAAAAGTATTATAAATGCTCTTCAATCAGAACCATTTAAGACATGTTTACATGCGACGATACAAATCGTTGGAATGATACAGGAGCAAAGAAAGTAAATGTGTTCGAGTCTTTGGAATGTAATTGAAAGACTCTAATACACGTACAAAGAAGGTAATAGCCGCAGTACTTCAACGCAGTTATCTTCAAACATCCTAATGACTATGTTAGAAAATCATTTTTCTTTTACAGTACTACTTGACAGTACTGTAGTGCACCTTACAGTGATATATTTGTTTTTACAAAAGTTACATACGTTACCATTTTTATTGAATACTACTAGACTACTCTGTACATCGTATTTATCTTTTACACTATAATTAGACTGTACAATAATGTAATAAAGAATTAAGTATAAATTACAACTAGACATAAAAAACTCATAAAATACGATAATTACTTTTTCAGAGGATAGTGGAACCGAAGAAGATAGCAATATCTCAGACACTTCTAGTCAGGAAAACCGTGAAAAAAAAGAATCAAATTACCAATACAACAGATATAACAAAACTAATAAAAATAAGAAAAACACTACTTACAATAACAGAGAAAGAAATAATCGAAACAGATCTAGAAGAAATCAAAATAAAAGAAATAAAGATCATAGTAGCAGCGAAGAAATCAGAGAAAATGAAAACACCGATCACAAAGACAGAGAAAAGCGTCGAGATAGCAAAGAAACCAAGGATAACAATAATTCTATCAGCGAAGATAATAAAGACATCAATAATTCTACACAAAAAGATAAAAAAAACTCTAAAAATAAAAATAAAGGTAAAGAAATCCAACATAAACGCAAAAGTAATAACAGTAGCAGTAGCAGTAGCAGTAGCAGCAGCAGCAGCAGCAGCAGTAGTGAAGAAAGCAACAAAAAAAACAAAGATAAAGGAAAACACAAAAACAAAAGCAAAGAAATCCAACATAAAGACAAAAATAATAGTGGCAGTAGCAGCAGCAGTAGTGAAGAAAGCAACGAAAAGCACAAAGATAAAGGAAAA